CATTTGAGATCTACTTTTTCTGTTTTACAGAAATGGTAGTGTTTTGCTTAAACTTTACCATCCTAACCTACTGTAATACTATAGTATTCAGCTTTCACTGTTCTAAAATTTCTCAGGCATAAATTTACACTGTATTGGTTTTTTCTGTCATTATTGGTTTGAAAGAGAGAAAAAGTCAAGTCATTCAAGAAAGCTATACTACTGTATTCATAAATATTGAAAAGAATAACACATTGACATCAGTCAGTCAGAAAAAGACAATTTTAAAGAAATTACACAATAATGGAGTTTTAACGGAATCATGATAAGAGAAGAAATAGGATGCATTTCTTCTGCTCACATAGAGCTAACTGTCTTGAACTAATGAATTAGCAGCCTATCCATCGCATATAAGAAGCAACATTGTACTCCTTTTAGAAACTATTTCCTTTTACTTTATAGATAATTTCGAAGACAGTCCTTGGTGTGGAGCTGATAGTAAGAAAAACAATTTATTATAATATCTACTTAGCTAGTTTGGAAGATACTATTCCTATTGCTAGTCCCTAAAAAAATATTGGCATGCTATAATACTAAAATGAAACAAACTGTTACGGTTGTCATCATTTCTTTTATCAGTTGACCTTATGTGTAAGGTAAGTGTGTTACAAGTCTAAACATATCCTTCAGGAAAGCAATAATTACACGTATTAAAACCATTTATATACAATTTTACCTGTGGTACATGACAAACAGTGAAATATTTCTATGCTAGGTAAGTATGTTAACAAAATTTCACATCAGGAAGAGATGTAGTAAACAAGATACTTTGTTCATAAAGAATAATTATAAATTGGTCTCACGTCAACCAAAAACTTCAGTGAAAAAAATGTGATATTCCCAGAGTCAAGTGAAAGAAGTGGTAACAAAAAATTTATAAATACCTAGAGAAATTAGAAGACAAAACATCTAAAAATGTGTAAAAAGGCTCATACGGAGATATATAAATTTCCATCTTCGAAAACAGTACCTAAGAACAAGAAATATAATCTTATGATATTGAAAGTAGATTATCAAACGTTTATCAAAAGTAAAGTGTAGTATTGACAGGCTTATTCAAAAAACTTTGCTTGCAGTATCAACAGAATTCCTCAGCTATCTGCATTGAAAAGTACAAAGACACTAAGTGAATACTACCATTTGATCACTGAGACCAAAGAGAACATATAGAAGAATCATATTGATTAATTGGTTTGGTATTTTAACTAAATGTCGTATGGTATCAGCTTTGAGCATGTGAAGAATGCTGAATGTGATGTGTTTAACGTAGTTAGTGTAGCTAAAGCAGAACGATATCCTTCATCTATGGATAGGATTACAGCAATGTAGTACTACTTTGACAAATCTTCATGATTTTCAAGCATTCTAAAACTAACTACTAGTTCACATTTCTTTTGATATAGCAAGACAAGGAAACGAAGGTGATGGTATTTGACAGTGTATTTCGCAGACGATCCATTTATGTTTCGTGGCTTGTGAGTACTTCATTCAAGGCATTTTTTAACGTACATTTAGCGATGTACTTATATCTACCACCTGTGCATATATTGCATAAATTTTCGCCAGTACGCTTTCCAAATAATTTTGTTGTGGAATTGTGAATTAGTATTATTTTTTCACACTTTCTTTGTTTATCCAGGTGGGTTGTCTTTCTGGACTGCAAAATTAGACTACTTATGTCAGTGTAATAGTAGGATTACTAATAATAGACAATAAAATTAACATATTTACTTCTCTCTACTCCAAACAGACTTTCTGATAGCATTTCATCATTTGAACCTTGTATCAGTTAACGAATAATTGATTAGAAATTTGATTCTTAGAAGGAAAATGATTTAAATTCTAGTAGTTCTTTCAAACTTCTTTGTACTTTTCTCCTGTTACTTATGTCTGATTTACTCTTATTTTTTAGTTGACTAACAAGAAGTAAACCTCATCCAGGTAACTAGTTCACTAGTTACTAGCCAGTCCTAAGCCCGGATAAAGAGGCAAGGTTGTGCATAGGGCTAGCAACCCTACCGCGTAAAACCAATCTAACCGCTAAAGAAACTTCAAAGCACAAGCAAAATATAAAACCTAAAATTAAACTTATCCTTAACTGGGATCGGAGAAGCGAAATGACGCCAGTTGGTGAAAGCCTTCAGGAAACCAATTGGCCTATGTATCTTCTCTCAATGAAAGCAAAAGTAAGACTGGGGACATGGAATGTCCACACCATGTTTGAACCTAGAAAGACTGTCCAGATTTCAAAGGAAATGAGAAGGTATGGCATAGAAGTGCTTGGAATCTGCGAAAGCAAATGGAATGGAAATGAACTCTCCAAACTGTCAACTGGAGAGTCAATAATCTACTCCGATATTGTCACCCAGACGACAACCACCAGCACATTGAGTTTTGGAGTGGCTATCATGATGTCCCCAACAGCATGGAGGGCCCTCTTTCATGCAGTGAAAACCAATCTCCTGCCACAGGATCATAATCATGACAGCAAGACTCAAATCAAAGGGAAGGAAAGTTACAATCATACAATGCTACGCTACGCACCTACAAAAATGTGGATCAAGAGAAGAAGGAGAAATTCTACAGAAAACTGAAATCAGTAATGAACGAGATCCCACCCCAGATGGCGACATCAAAATTCTACTGGTTGGGGTGACATGAATGGCACACTGGGAGCGGACAACACAGGAAAAGAACTCATCATGGGTCGAGAGATACTCGGTGAAATGAATGAGGACGGAGAACTAATTGCAGACTTCTGCTCATTCAACTATTTGGTGATTGAAGGCAGTGTGTACATACACAAGGATATTCACGAACTGACATGGATTTCACCGGATGGATACACTAGAAAACAGATCGACTTCATCTCAATCTCCAGAAAGTTAAGACGTAGCCTACTGGACACAAGATCAAGAAGAGGAGGAGATGTAGGTTCACACCGCTCAATATCTAGTGCAAGGAACTTGCATTCAAAATCAAGTTGAAAACCTTCAAAAAAGCTGGTGATGATACATCACAGTTCAAGTTTAACACCTAGAACAGAAACTGAAAGGCGAGACTACAAAGAAAATCTTTACGTCAGCCGTCAAGACAAAATGGGAGATATTGAGCAACATCCCTGAAGAAACTTGCGTGAAAGAACACTAGAACTCTTTGAAAGCTGTATGGAAAGAAACCTGCAAAACCGTATTAGGAAGGAAGAAAAAACAGGACAAGGAATCGACGTCAACGGTGATTAAAAGAGAGAAAGAGACCAAAAGATGCGCTGGATTCAAAATTACTGCCGGAACAGGCTGGATTCAGGAAGCACAAATCATGTGCGGACCAAAATGCTAAGCTACACATCATCATAGAACAGAGCGTAGAACGTCAGTCAACTCTTTATTTTACCTCAACGTCGTCGATTTTGAAAAAGCCTTCGACAGCGTTTACCGAGAAGTAATTTGGGAGGCAGTTGCTTGAACAATACGGAGTGCCACAAAACTTTATCAACCTCATTATACAGCTATATGAAGACGCCACATGCCGAGTGATTCACAGTAGATAGCTCATTGACGCCTTTGAAGTGAAGACAGGAGTAACACAAGGTTGCCGCCTACTATCACCGATGATCTTCCTGATTGCGGTCGACTGGATCATGCAGCAAACCGTGAGGAGCGAGAAAATTGGCATACTCTGATACGATGAAAAGACCCTAGCAGATTTGGACTTCGCCCATAATGATTTATGTCAGATGTCTTGTCGCGCAAACTCAAAGATCTACAGGCCAAAACTAACAGGTTGGCAGAAGAGGCGAGCTAGCGAATACGGGACTTCAGGTGAACGTACAGAAGACATAGGTGATGAAGATACCTAACCAATAACAACAAGCATCAATCACTATCAACGGGATAAACCTAAAGGAAGTAGTCTCTTTCACCTATTTAGGCTGCATCGTTCCAACTACAGGTGGCAAAGATGTAGACGTCAAAGCCAAAATCGGAAAGACTGCAAGACAGGCTTTCATTAATCTGAAACCAGTATGGAGATCTACTGCACTTCACTCATCATAAAGAACAAGATCCAGATTTTAAACACTCACGTCAAGTCAGTGCTTCTATATGGTTCAGAAACTTGGCACGTTACGAAAGGCATTTTCTACAAACTACAGACATTCATCAACAGCTGCCGTCTACGCTCGCTTGATACTGAAGATGACCAGATGACCAGAATAATACGAAAAAGCAACAAGGAACTCTGGCTGGCAACGAACCAACCAAGAACCCGTCGCTCAACAGATATGCAGAAGAAAGTGGAGATGGATTGGGCGTGCACTGAGAAAACCGACTGGGGACATCACGCCCCAGGCCGTCCAGTTGGATCCAAAGGGGGAAACAAAGAGTTGGGCATCCGAGGCGGGGTGACATGGAGATCATGTGAGGAAGAAATGAAAGCTTGTCAGGAGTCGTGGAGCCAGGTCCAAAAGACTGCAGAGAACAGAGTGGAATGGCGACGTGCTACTGAAGCTCTATGTTGCACTAGGAACCCAGGGGACAAATAATAAACAACGAAACAATAAGTAAACACATAGGTAATGATCAGTACAACGTAACTGACCGTTTTCATGTAAACAACCGGACCACAAGTCTGCTCTGGTCAGTCATCAATTTTTTTCAGTCTGTTTGTATTGTATGAAGTTGAAAATTGTTAGAAAGTGTGCGAATATTCACCACAAGTGTTACAGTTTTGCATTATGTAATTACTGATGACTGGGTCGGTTACTAATGGTTCTCTATCTGGTCGACTGTGATTGGCCGTTCTGCTTCAATGATAAGCAGGCCATATGATTTCCCTGATATTATGACCGTCATATACGTTACATCTGCCTGTGTTGATGATGATAGGGTATCATACAAAAATGATTCAGCTTATCGTTAGTCAAGGACAATATTTATTCCGTTTGACCAATATGATTATGCAAATAAGGTAAATCAATGATAAAAAGCATACCGCTAGCAAGTGAAACGCTTAAAGTGGTCATAGTGTAAATGAAGTAGATTCAATCTAATTATTACCATAATCATCAATAGTCTGATTCATACAGATATCAAACATAAAATGACTACGTCTTCTTCCACTTCAATGACAATGTTTTCCTTGAGTTATTTAGGCAATTCAATTATCCAGAAGTCAAATGATTGTGAATTAGAAACAATTTATGAATTGCTTATTGATTATTATCTGAAATTTCTTCAACAAGTATCTGCTTTTACAGCATCTTCAATAAATAATTCAGAAGTTGTATCTTATAAAACAATACTGACAAATAACTATGACAATGTGATATTAGCTATTGGTAATGGTCATGTTCTTATTAAATCATTGGATTATAAAGAACATAACAAAAAAGATGCAAGATTGAAGAAAACTTCTGGATCTATGCCGATTGATGAAAACTTTTCTGCTTCTGAGTTGACCTATTTCAATTGTTATTACTTTGAAGTTGTAACACCTGTTGGAAGTAACAGCATGACGAATACAAATAATATGAATAATCAGAACAGGAAGCATGATATATGTTATGCTTATTTTCGTCGCATTATTGATACAAGACGCTGTATACCTGAGGATGCGCTGATCAGATTAGACAGTCAAATTACTAATTGGTTATTATGCAATCGTACAGTAACACGTCCACCATTAATCTACTTTATGGTTCCACGTTTAACGTCAAATGGTGTAAATTGTTTAGCTTGTTATGTGTTTCTAGCAGAAAGTGTACAAATTGGGCTGAAAATTTTACGTTGTTTCTCAGAATTGCGTAAATCCCACCTTGAAACAAAATTCATGCCAAGTAGACAATGTAAATACGATAAGTCAAAACCTCTTCAAAATAAAATTATACATAGCAAGTCAAAAAATGCCAGTGATAAGTTGAATGAAAATCAATTTGAATGTCAGACAGAAAGCTTAAATAATATAAAACATCATTGTGAATATCATCAGCGTAATTCAGGGTGTCAAGAGTCACCATTATTATCACCAAGAGCTACAAAATCGCACATCGATCTGTTACATCGTTTCAACTATCCATCTATATCACAAACATCTATGAATATTATGTGCCCACAATGTAATTTAAAATGTTGTCCTATTCATTCTAGTCTATGTGAACTTCATCGATCAAAGTTAATTCAAATGAAACTTGGTAATGAGGCAATGGATTATTATTATAACAACCATTCAAAATATCATAATAAATGTATGAAACCTTTTGATATGCCAAGACCAAATATCTCGATCAGAGATAGTTCAGTACCAGCGAGATTAGAGCATAAAATGAATCATTTACGCATTGATCCATGTGTTAAATTGTGTCCACTATGTCAACATTCAGTTAAAACTGATTGTGAAAAATCTGAACACTTTAGTAGAAATCGTTATCAAAATAAAATTGATGAGCGTACAAGATCAGGCTACAGATATTATCGGTCCTGTTCACCTTCACGTTATATTAACACAAAGCCTAGAGATAAAACAAACTATTATCATGCACATTTAGGTGGGTCGTTGGAACTGATCCCTTAAGAATAGAAACACTTTTGAACTAACACTGAATTCTGTTCCTCTCGTCTTTGAATTCAAAAGGATCCAAAACGGTTGAAATTTATGTTTTTATAATAGTTTAAGATTTCTAGACACTTTCTATCATATATTTTCAATATTACAATAAACTAAGCTACATTATGTGTGCTCCATTGTCTCTAATCAACAGTACTGCTTTACAATTTCAAATGTGTAAGTTAAAAGCATACATACCTGAAGCAGGCAAACTTATCCTACTTAGTGATGGAAGTATAGGCTATGTGATTTCCATAAAGTGGATGCCTTGAGTATTCATATCGCTTTGATATGATAGTGAGTGTTAGTGTGATTTCCGACATATGCTACATAAAAGATACTGATTCCACAGCATGTCAGATTGTTGATAATTTGATACCTTATTGTTATAAAATCACGTTTCAGATTGTTTGTTCAGTTGATATTCAGAATTTAGACATAACTTCGCTTTGGTAATCAGTTAGCAGTTCTGACCAGTGTACCAATTTATTCTTCAATAATTCTGTATTAAAGATGGGAGATCTTTTTCAGGTTTTTAGTTTCTAATGACTGCGTCACAGAATAAACTCTCAGTGATGGTTAACTCATACTGATTTGTCCTCTATATTTTTATTGCATTACTCACGTAATCTCTTCAAAAGTTTACCACTTTTATATCTCATTGGTAGCAATTTTTCATCAAATGATGACCACATTTCAGTAAAGCCAAATATACTTGAATTTTGATGGTTAAAGACAACTGCTACAGTTTCTTACCGATATAAAGAGAGCATAAAGGTTTCTGGTTGAGTAGTTCAATACCTACGCTTCTAGTATGATTGGTTTACATTGCTTATCATCGAGGTCAGATGATAGTAGTGAGCATCTGGCTAGTGATTACAGTAGCGCTACCTATGATTTAGTATTTGTATTTATGGTCTAGGGATTTCGATCTAATTTCTTCTAGTATAGATGCTAGCTTTCAAACTGCTGACTGATATTATAACCTAAGTAAGCGAGTAGGTCAACTGCACATTAGTAGATTGTATGGATGCGTATAAACCATTCTACACATCTTAGTTATTAATGGATGGAGTTACATTTATGCAATCTTTGAACAGTCGGGAGCTTTCAATTAATGTGGGAAATCTGTGAATTTTTTTTTGTCTTTTAATAATTTTAGCGGTTTTGTCTTAACACAACTACTGGATTACAGATCCTACTTTTTGGTTATTTAGTGCGTACCATACAAGTTAGTTAGTCTTCTATAACCCCCAACAAAAAACGTCAAACAAATTTACCCGAAATTTATTGTTTACTTTTCTAATTGTAAGTAGTGAACGTCGAAATGAAATAAAGTTTCCCCATAGTTCGAAGGTAACTTGTTTTTTAGTTGTAAAATGGTAATACCTCATAGAAGACTTATACTCAAAACTGATGTTCATGAATAATTGGTGAGTAAGTCAATAGTCTGAAAACTAGTTATTACTGAAAGACATGCTGATTATTTTATTCACAGGTGAGCAAATTTATTGACTGCTTCATCATAGTATCATCAAGTAATCTATTAAAAGTCATTCAGTCAAGATTACAGCTCATGGTCACTGATATGAAGGTGATATAAACCAGATAAGTACTATTGGCCATTTAAACCATATTCTGTTGGGTATTTCATTGCGAGAACTTTTATTGTCATAAATGATGCTATTACCAGTACAAAATTCAAAAGGAAGGGGTTACTAGTCTTTTTCTATGGGGAATTTACTGGTGATGGGAAATGCAAGTGATTGTTCCACTAAATGTGCTTTTACTGTCTAACATACTTTTCGACCAACTAAAGGGTTTTAAATTTTTATCTCGGAAGTTGTATTTTTTCCTCAGACGTTTCTGTTATTTAAGTGTTAATCCCATCTCGAAATGGTTTTGGATTAAACACTGACTATCTGAGATAGCTATGGTTTGGAAAACTTGTACTTATACTGAGTGGTGATTGAAGGTCAAATAAAACTCTCGGTTGTGACAGGATTGGAACCTGAGATCTCTGAATTACTGACCTGGTGCTCAACCAACAGAGTTTTGAGACCCAGCGCCAGTCCAGCGAAACCTTCGGTGACTGAAATGAAAGATCTGATTTGTAACTGGATCTCCTAATTCAGCCGCTAGAGTACCGAACAGGTAATGCAGAGGTCGCTGGTTAGGATCCTGATGCAGTTCAGATTTTCATTTCATCTTCAGTCATCATCCAGTATTGACCTAGATGCCAAACTAGAAAAATTCTCTAGAGTTCTTACCGTTTTCTACCTAAAATATCTTCATTTGCCTCACATGATTTACATCCACAATTGTCCACAAATATAACTCGTCATGCTTATAGACGAGAAGGGTCATTGTCTCCGACAGAGTGTTTATTGAAGTTACCGCAACTCATTTTGCAGATTACCAGAGGTTTACTTTCTTCTGTAATTGCATTCTATGGTATGCGTAATGACGAGTGAAGTGAGTTCATAAGCCTGTAATTTACAGTAAAAGAAAATAGCTTTATCAATGTACTAGCGATTTCAAAAATGTAGGTCGATCTATGTTGCTTTCATGAATAGCTTTGTAACTGGTGATAGATAAGACGCGTAACTTCTGTGCAGCTGCTTTTCTCTAAAAAGTCGATAGTTAAATCAGTCATTTTCTTTTTCACTTGTGTAGAACGATTGAAGTGTATTTCAAGTGGTAATTCAACATAACTGATATTGTTTCTTTGAGTTATTGGTACTGTAGTTCAGGATTATTTCACCATGAGTTGGCTTTCTATTCAACTGCATTTATCATCGTGCTAAATAAGTCCCGGTTACAGAAATGTCTGGGAAAGAAGATTTGTTATTTTCAACTTCCTTTTTGATTCTGCTGTCATATCAAAGGTTGCAGACGAATTCGTTTTTCTGAATAAAGATAAGTGGTTTTTCCATACAACGACATTTTGGATTACTGGTAGGTCTATAGTTGTAACAGACGTAAACGCTGGAGTTTTGTGTATTCTGAAGAGTGTATATTATTTGTAAAACGAATAGTTACAGTATCTTCCACCAACTTCGATTCAAGTGAAACGAATATCGTTGTGAATTCGAACGATGTCATCACTTCATCGCAATGAAGTTCAGCATATCTTATCATTTTCAAAACCTATATACAACATTTGATGGAACGGTTGAATAATGTTTGCTGTAGGTTGTAATTTGGAGTTCTAGGAGTTACACAGCCGATTGTCAATTGATATTTGATTTGCATGATTTAAGTTTACTGTAAAACGGAAAAAAGTGGTTCATCGAAATGTATTCATCATCGCTTTTGTCCGGTTATATGCTCTGCATTGATAAGCTTATTTTAAGTCCTGATGATCTAGTAGTCAGACTTTTGGACACAGTTCTTCTCAGTTGACTGACGTATGTTTCTATACTTGATTTAGTGGCTAATACTTCTGCCATGATCCTTTTATTCTATGATTTTTTGATGCTCCCCTTATTAGTCAGTTTTCCACAGTGCTCTTTATATTTCAGAGTCTATTAGGAGATTTTTTATTTATCAGCTGTTAGCTAGGTGTGATTTTTCGTTCATCTTGCCAGAAGTACAGTTATTTGTCATACTTTATGTTGAATCTCCTTATCTACATCTGTTGTCTTCGTATCGACTTCGCTATGGTGAAAAGTTCATTTTTTCGAAATCCACTTCAGTCTTTTCTAAGGGCTAAGTTGTGTTACTTTGGTCATAAGCTGCCTAGACAGGTTAACCACTGTTTCATTTTGTCTTTCTTGCTTGCTTGTGCATGTTAGTTTTTGACCAGCTTTACATAGAAATCATCTATTCCGTTCTAATTGCGTTTTACACCTGAAGCTCCAGTCACAATTTTCACTGTTGTGAAATGTATTGTTATATGTACTTCTTCTCTCTTGTCTTGGTATTATTGACATTCAGCTTTCTCTGACCACATCAAGAAGTCCACGTAGTGGTCATGAGCGGTTTTGGGTGGCGAAAACGGAAGAGAAGGAGAAGGGGTCAACACTAGGTAATATATGACAGTAATTTAGGCTCATCAAAGATACTGGCGAGAGAGAGTCCATGCAGCGCCTTACTGTCTTTCTAAGCCTTGGACGAGTTTCTCGAGATAATCGGTAATAATGATGCAGATGTACTGACTTTCTGACGTCTTCTTAAGTTTGAACAACTTCATTAACCTTAACCTAAGCTCTTTTTCTCTTCGCAAACTCTGTCATTTACTTTGATAATGCTCTCTTTCCATCTACTTATTCTTTGCACGCTGCTGTGGTTTTAGGCAGCTTGAACCGATATATTTCAGTCAGTGGTTCCAAGTTGATTGTTCTGTCTAATTTAAATTGTTAATCAGAATCGTATGATCAAAATGAATTTCAATCAAAGCAAAAACTATGTGGATAAATTCTTTAGAAGATATCCATCGAAATAGCATCATACTAAATTTGTTAACCAGCTGAATACATTCAAAGGTTCTAGAGGTATAATTAAGACTGTTAGTAAAGTGTTTAACAGTATTTGTGGTATATTACTCACAAGTATGTGTGTCTAACTTCAGGACAAATATGGAGTACTATTGATAGTTATGATAATACCCTTAGTAATAAGACCTACTCAGCATAGTGAGGTACAACCCTGTACACATTTGTCCGGTAGGCAATAAGCCACACGTGTTATGTTGAAGCTACTGATACAGCCTGTCTGTCGAAACCTTGTTAGGTGGAGAATTGTTCTGACTGGTGACTCACTGGTTGAAAGTTAGCTACCTAGATCAATGTGCCACAACTGCACATGGTAAGACTTGTTGTCTGTAACTTTCGAATTGATGGATTGTTCACTTTAGAGTAAATTAACATTTATTCTACTATTATATTATAATAACCAGTCGCTGAAGGAAAATTCATTCAGGTATAGAGCAATAAAGGAACTCTATAGAGTTCCGTTTATTCTACCGAAGTATATCAATTAACACTTGACTATTCGATGGATAACGTACGGGCTAGCATAAATACATTCCATCAAAGTTGCATATTATTTTTCTGTTGCGTTATGAGAACAGGTGATGTTAGTTTACAAGCCCGAGGGTTATGGATGAGTCATAAGTGCCTCACTTATCCATAATGCATAGATTACCATTATATGCAATTTGTCTGAGCGCTAATACGCACAAGAAGATAGTTATAATTATACTTAACAGGTTATTTTAACCTTCCTTGGTAAGTTTAAAACGCAAACTTGAATGTTAGCTATTTGACGTCATAAATTCATTTGTATATAAGACAGACAGTTGATTTTTGACCAATGTTAACTGTATGATGAAGGCTAAAACAAGAAACTACCTATAAGTATTTCACAGTAGTTTTTTTCTGGTATCAAAATCAACTTGATAAATACCAAGAAACAAGTGGTACCCGGCATAACTGTTTGATTACAGTTGTAAGATTCTGATAAATCATGCAATTCACAACGTATTCATTAAAATGAAACTGTATAAGCATTTACTTTACTTGACATTTCCATCATTGTATTACTGACAGGTTTGTACTAATAGATCATATGACCAGAATCATTTCTCAACATTTATCAAAGACTTTATGTTTTCCATAAGCACGTGACAGTTTTCTGATATACTTCATAAACAAGTATGATGTTTATAATACTGATAAATAATGAAATAAATACTGAAATTACTTTGTACTCTTATCATTTTGCATTT